GACAGGTAGAGTTATAGACAGTGAGAGAGAGAGAGACAGAGAGAAAGGTCTTCCTTCGATTGGTTCACCCCCCAAATGTCTGCCACGGCCGGCGCTGTGCTGATCCAAAGCCAGGAGCCAGGTGCTTCTTCCTGGTCTCCCACGCAGGTGCAGGGGCCCAAGCACCTGGGCCATCCTCCACTGCCTTCCCGGGCCACAGCAGAGAGCTGGCCTGGAAGAGGAGCAACCAGAACCAGAACCGGCGCCCATATAGGGATGCCGGCGCTGCAAGCGTAGGATTAACCAAGTGAGCCACTGTGCTGGCCCCTTCAGTGCACTTCTAATCACACAGAAAGCAAGTACACCTTCACACCTCTACTTCTTCTAATCCTGTTGTTCTTTTGTTTGAGGATATTAAGGTTAAGACTTAGACCCTGGTACTAGACTGTCTAAAGTTCTATCCAGATCTCACCACCCATAATTGACAGAATCTTAGAGAAGGAAAAATCATTGTTTCCACAGTCATCCAAAATGTAAAATGAAGATAATAATAGTACAAATCTCATAAGATTATAATAAGGATTAAATACATGTGATCTGCATAGAGGGAAAAAAAAGGTCCCCTTTCCCCACTCAGCTGATGTTAGCTATTACTGTTTGTCACTAAACGACAGGTTTTTGAACAGCATAATTTACTGCATCTGGAGTGGAACCAGTGAAGAATAAATACATAAGGGGTACAGGAGAAATTACCAATTTGAAAAAGATTGCTAAACAAAGCTTTGATAGGAAAATTTTGAGAAAAGAGGACTCACTTCTGTGCCAAATATGAGTTGGAACACAAACATTTGGTGTTAAAGAGGAAGTGCTTTTGATGAAAGTTTATATTCTGCACCATGTGCTTCAATGCTTAACTTTGATCTAGAGAGAAAACAAAGTTCAGTTTTAATTTATTTGATATTTCAACATCAGCTTAAATTGTTTTCATTCTTTTAAGCCTGACATTCCTAGCGTCAGGATGCAGTGTGCTTTAAAGCTTGTTAGAGACTTTGGTGAGAAATGGAGCTGCAGACGGAATACAGGTACAGAATCAAGAAGGCTGGAGGTGAGCTCTTCTGTACTATCTCAGGTACTGGCTAGACAACCTTCAGCAAAATATCTCATATTTCAGAGTCTTAGGCTATATGTCTACATAACAGGAATGAAAAATTGTACTAACTCAAGATAATATTCTCAGGATCACATTAGATATTTGAAGTCATTCTGCAAATGAGAACAATTTATGTTGTTAATCATGGGATTTTTTTAGGTAATTTAAAAAAAAGAAAAAAATGCTTATTAGAAACTTACTATTTGGTCTCAAAATCTTCAAATATTGTGACAATGTAGATGCCAATATATTTCTCATTTGAATAACATTAGAATACATATTAATCAATTATATAATATAATTGGGTCTTAACAACATTCTCCCTGGAGTTTTGGAAAGTTTCCAAACCTCCATGTTTACATTCCTACCTTTAATTTGTTGTAAATATTGGACCCCTCCCTGGATTGCCCTCCCCCCCAAAAATTTTAATTGCTTGGCTCTGCTAATGATGTGTTCTCTGGATGATTTTTCTGAATCTCAAAATGTAGAGAAACACTGAAGTCAGCACAAAGGACCTGAGAACATACAAGCCGCCTTCTTCTTTTTTTTCCTGGTAATAACTAGTGACTCTGTGCCTGAGAGTCAAAATATCTTAGATAGTTTCACCTATCAGCTTTTCCTGAGGAATAAACTATAGGTAAGTGAATACTTGAAGAAAATAATTACAGCATGCTTCTTGCTATCAAATTCTCACTTACATCCCCTCACTTTATCTTTCAAATTAATAAATAAAATGTAAAGAATTTCATGAGATTGTAAGCAACAAATCTTTTTAAGGTTGGAGACTTGTCTCAAATAAAGGAAAGGAAATCATTTCTCAATTCAGAAGTACATAAATGACACATTTTCCTGGTTTTAAAAATACCATTTTTCAAATTCTGGATGTCAATTTTACCCACTTTACCTTGATCTCTTTTTTTAAGATTTATTTATTTATTCGAAAGCCAGAGCAACAGAGACAGAGACAGAGACTGGGGGAAGGTGGGGGAGGACAGAAGGGAGAATCTTCCATCTATTGGTTCACTCCCCAAATGGCCACAACAACTGGTGCTGGGCCAGGTCGAAGCCAGGAGCCTGGAACTTCATCCAGGTCTCCCACATGGGTGACATGGGCCCAAGTACTTGGTCCATCTGCTGTTGCTTTCCCAGGCACACAAACAGGAGCTGGATAGCAAGTGGCATAGTTGGGACTTGAACCAGTGGAACAGCCTGGAGTTGAACCAGCGTTCATATGGGCTGATGGCATGGCAGGCAGCAGCTTAACCTGCTGTGCCCTTTGATCTCACTTTTTCATTCATCAACTTTTCATGAGTTAGTGTGATACAGATTTACATTATAACTTACACTGGTGTCTGAGAAATGTTCACAACAAAACTGTTAAGTAGAAATCAGCCTCATTTAAAGAAAAAGGAAGTGCTAAGCTTTTGAGTTTCAAATAGAAGTGCTCTCAAATCAAGTTCAATGTGCTTTTCCAAGCTATTTCTGCTTCTTCTCTGGCTTCACCTTTTCAAATCAAGTGAGAACAATAGATATCTCTGTTTAGTGCTCTAACCTAGCAACATGGTTGTAAAACACGTGTTCTCTCTCATTTTCTTCAATAGCCAAGGAATTTGAATACTTTCACTGAATTTATAATTACTGAAAAAATTCTCTGTTCCAAATGTGTGGAACTGCAATACTATAATTTTGGCATATTCAGCTGTTGTTATAACTCCTGCGTTTGAAAAGATGGTTTAAAATAGCTTAGATATCACCTGTGTGGTCATAATTCAAAATAATGTTCAAAATATATATGACAGAAAATAATATTCTTAAATCTAAATATGAATGTAATTCAGAGTTCCTATAAAAATGAATGGATATATACTACTGCATCCATTAATCCTTTCTAGAAGCCTCCTGGACCAGGATGATTATGACCAGTGATCTCTGTATCTTTTATTTATTCTCTACCTAAGAATGTAACTCTGCATCTGACACTTTTTAATTGCAACTAATTATGACTCAAGGAAAACTAAATTGTGTTTTTAGTTCCTATTATTTGCCATAGACGTAGCATGTGTGATAATAATTAAAACCATAGCAGGTGAATGAGCCTCTGTGAGATCAAACATACAGGTGAGCGCACGGGAGCTGAAAGAAGCTAGAAATGCAGGAAAGTGGCACAGAGCTCTGCGGAGGTACAGTAAGATTCTTCTCAGCAACAGTTGACTCAGATGACTTGGAATTTCCAATACACCACAGGGCTTCTGTAGAAAAACTGAAGACAAAATAAGTGTGTAATTGTTTCACCCACTAAGCCACACCTTAAGGTATTTACTATTTTTAGAAGACAAATTTTCAGTGAGATGAGAAACCTTTCTTATGGAAAAGAAAAAAGACATGAATAGCAATAGGGCTAGGTTCCCTTGAACCCCAGGCCATCAACCCTTTAAGTTATTAACTTTTTTTTTCACTTTTCTCCAAGTTTCCGGTGAACTAAATTTCATACTGAGAAATGAAAGAAACTAGGAAACCCACGCATAATAAGGTCGATCATGTAATGATTTTAGTTAGTTTAACTAAAGAAATGAGTTAAAACCTAACTATGAAGGATCAAAGAAAACTTTGGTCATACCAAAACTAGATACACTTTAATTTCCATTGACTATTACAAGACTGAACTGAGAACTCAGAGGAAATAGGAGGAATGGTTTACTTTTTGACAAGTGAAATAAAACTTCTTACTATCAATTTGCCCTAGAATGAACTACTATTTTCAAAAGAAAATTAATTTTAAGTCAGAATTCTCTATAAGCCAAAGAAACCAATGATTGACCTTAAAAGCAATGATTACAGAGCTACAAAGCGTATGTCACAGTTGAATATTGGCTAGAAAAGTGTACAACCCTGAAAAGCGCCCCTACATTAATCTTTTTTTTCTGTGTTGTCAAATTTACTATCCTCTGGTCAGAACTCCAAAGGTTTCCAACTGCCTGGAGAACAAATTATAATTCCTTATTACAGTTCACAAATCTGCAAACTCAAGTCCCCCTTTATTTTCAGAATATTGTATTTCTATACATTGTTTTCTCATCTTGCAACTCCACTGATGTATTCTGGCTACAACCCATTGCCTATGACTATCCTCTGCAATTCATCAGGATCAAATTCAACTGATGAATCTTATGCTGAAATCCTATGCTAGCACTCTCTCAGAAGATAATTCCTTGTTTGAAGTCAGTCCAGGTTGTATCCAGATATATAACCACTACAACGCCACTGTCAAGCCAGGTTGCCCTTTAAAAAGATACTTAACATACAGGACAACATTATGGGTTTTTAATAGGTCCTAGATATTTTTTGACTTCATGGACCCTTTCATCCCTTAATAAAATATTCAAAGTTGCATTTATTTCAGAATTGGCATTAAAACCAACATATTATATATTAAAACTTAGAAGTTCACCTTTGTATTCAGATTTTTTTTCTGGGAAAATGGGTATATATATTTATTTGGAGGGGTCTCAGCTTATTTTTTATTTTTATTAATATAAAAAGAACAGATTTCATGTATTTCATAGGCTCAATTCTACAAACATAACCATATTTTCCCTACCTGCATCTGTCCCTCCCTAAACCCCCTTCTTCCTTCCTTTTAATTTTTGCAAACACATAATTTCAATCCACTCTATAATCATAGGCTTAATGTACTACTAACCATAATATTCAACAAGCAAAAATTGGAAATACCACAGTTCCATAGGAGTATGAACAGGGGCTAAAAACAACAATCAAATCACAAGATGTCTGTTTTGCTTTTATTCAGATTTTAAAAGAAATCAAAATATTTTCCTGGACTTCTCACAATATAGAAGGCCTATTGTACATAATGAATAAGTTGGATAAGATCCTGTTAGGTAATACAAATGTTGAATTAAAACTAATTGAGGATAACATGTCACTTGACAACCTCTATTCACCTCCAGTGACAAGAGAAAAAAGAGTGAGAAGACTCTGGTAGAACGGAGAAATCTGCTTCAAATCTAATGGGTTAGCTGCAACTTACCTCTACCGTGAAAACAGGCCCAAGGTTTTCAAACATTCTAATATGAGCTGAAAGCACCAATTTTTATTTCATGTTGCCTAATTTTAAAATGTTGACCTCTAATTCAAATGTAAAACACAGTGTGGACAATCATTGCCAAAAAAAGACATCTGTGTGTTGAATCCAGGTTATAGGCCATTGATTTGCAGCCACTGCATTAAGAGGCAGAACTTAGAGAAATGGCAATAAAATTAATTGAGGTCCAAAGATCATATAATCACATATTCTCTGTATTAACCCTGAAAAAGTCAGGTTAGAATTCCTGCTCTTGTGATCTGGGTTCACAGTAAAAAAATTTCCCCAGAGAGATGTTGTTGTAGCCAAATGCAAAACCGTAGTTCACACAGATTGTGAATCTTAAAAATGTAACTCTCACAGACACTGTATTAATACACTTTTGTTCTATCATCCACAGAGTTCTACTGGAGAAAGTATATATATATATATGGAAATGGCCAATGATTCCACGTTGACAGAATTTGTCCTGGTGGGGCTTTCTGCCCACCCAAGGGTGCAGATAGTTTTGTTTGTGGTTGTTTTATGTATGTACCTGATGATCCTACTTGGAAATGGAGTCCTTATCTCAGTAATCATCTATGATTCTCACCTACACACCCCCATGTATTTCTTCCTCTGTAATCTTTCTTTTCTGGACATTTGCTACACAAGCTCTTCTGTCCCACTCATTCTTGACAGCTTTCTGACAATTAGAAAAAGGGTTTCCTTCTCTGGATGCATGGTGCAAATGTTTCTCTCCTTTGCAATGGGGGCCACAGAGTGTGTGCTTCTTGGCATGATGGCACTTGACCGCTATGTAGCCATTTGTTTCCCACTGAGGTACCCAGCCATCATGAACAAGGGTGCCTATGTGCCCATGGCAGCTGGATCCTGGGTCTCTGGGCTTGCTGACTCAGTGGTACAGACATCTCTTGCAATGCAACTACCATTCTGTGCTAATAATGCCATTAACCATTTTGTCTGTGAAATCCTTGCTATTCTGAAACTGGCTTGTGCTGATATTTCAATCAATGTGATCAGCATGGCAGGGTCAAACCTCATTGTCTTGGTTATTCCAGTGCTAGTAATTTTCATCTCTTACATTTTTATTGTTGCCACCATCCTGAGGATCCCTACCACTGAAGGAAAACATAAGGCTTTCTCTACTTGCTCTGCCCACCTGACGGTGGTGGTTATATTCTATGGAACCATCTTCTTCATGTATGCAAAGCCTGAGTCTAAGACCTCTGTTGGTATGGATAATAAAGACATCATTGAGGCCCTCATCTCCCTCTTCTACGGAGTGCTGATTCCCATGCTCAATCCTCTCATCTACAGTTTGCGGAACAAGGATGTAAAGGCTGCTGTGAAGAACATGTTGGACAGAAAATAAACTAATTGGCATTTTGTAATGTGAACATTCTTTACTTTCTGATGGAATATGAATGTGGACTTATATTGTGTGACTCAGTATTCAGACCCACTGACGACACAAAATTCAGAAAGAAAATTACCGTGCGAAAACAAATTCATCCTATGTCATTCAAAACCATATGACAGATATTTTGGTTGCTGCTGTTACTATTAGTTTTTTTGTCCTAACTGTGGAACTGAAGCATGCTATTGGTTTCAAAATATGCTTTTATGGAAATGCAAACTGTTAAAATAAAAAATATCTCAGGGCCAGCGCTGTGGCATAGCAGGTGAAGCCACCGCCTACAGTGCCAGCATACCATATGAGTGCTGGAGACCCAGCTGCTCCACTTCTGATCCAGCTCTCTGCTACTGCCTGGGAAAGCAGTGGAATATGGTCCAAGTCCTTGGGCCACTGCACCCACATGGGAGACCCAGAGGAAGTTCCTGGTTCCTGGATTCAGATCAGCACAGCTGCACCATTGCAGATATCTGGGGAGTATACCAGTGGATGGAAGACTCTCTCTCTCTCTTTCTCTCTCTGCTTCTTCCACTCTGTAACTCTGCCTTTCAAATAATAAATAAATAAATCTAAAAAAAATCTCTTAGCAAGCTCCAACAAGAAAGTACATGAATCACTCTTAAACATTCAGAAAATAATAAAGACAAAATTATTCTGAAAAACAATTAATTATAGTGGGTACATCAATTACTATATGAAGTGAATATTAATACATGATGTATTTTTACTTTTAATGTGTTCATATATTTACTATTTATATATACATGTATAGCTCACTGAATAGGATCTTTTCCTTTTATTATTCTACAGTATCCTAAAGACTTATATAATAGGAAAAATATGCACATTATTGATAAAACAGATGACTTGCATTTAAGACCAGAGATGTATGTTTGTCACATTTGAGACAGTTATTCAAAAAAGAAAATTAATTGAATAAAAGATTCTACATAAACTATATTAGCATTTTGTCATTTAAACATTCTTAAACATATAAACTCTTGTTTTTATTTTCTATGTATGTATTTTTATGTACATATATTTTTTTAATTTCTATGTATATATGTATGTGCATTAAAATGTGGAGGAACAAGTTTTCTAAGGCAGTTTCAAAAATTTTTCTGAGATTTAGTATACAGGGAGACTAAACAAGATTAAACAGTCCCTGATAACACATGTTAAGCTTTAACTTGTTATAATATGGGTAACCTAGTAGCATAGAGTTCCTCTTGGTCTTTTACAAAAGACCAGCCTGAAATGAGGACATATTTCTACTCTGCACTGGGCCACATAGCTCCTAAGCAATGAAAGAAATACAAGTAGTAGGCCGAAGCCATGGCTCACTAGGCTAATCCTCTGCCTGCGTGCCAGCACCCCGGGTTCTAGTCCAGGCTGGGGCACTGGTTTTGTCCCGGTTGCTCCTCTTCCAGTCCAGCTCTCTGCTGTGGCCTGGGAGTGCAGTGTAGGATGGCCCAAGTGCTTGGGCCCTGGACCCTCATGGGAGACCAGGAGAAGCACCTGGCTCCGGGCTTCAGATCAGCGCAGTGCGCCCACCGCAGCGCTCTGGCCACAGCGGCCACTAGGGGGTGAACCAACAGAAAAGGAAGACCTTTCTCTCTCTCTCTCTCTCTCTCTCTCTCTCTCTCTCTCACTGTCCACTCTGCCTTTCAAAAAAAGAAAAAAAGAAATACAAGTAGTAACTAAGAAAAATTGCAATATGCAGAGATGGTCAAGATGTCCAATGCACTGAGGAGCTACAGGGTTTAGGGCTTTGTGGGATAAAACTGAGATGGACTTTGAGATGATCTCTACTACACATCCATATGGGGCAGCACCCATGTGAGGAATGGAAGCCTCTCCTCCACTGAGGAATCTGAGTCAAATACAGTCCAAAGGAAAGCACTTCCTCTACCTGGCTCTTCAAGAAATCTGCAGCAATCAACATAAAGAAATCTAAAGTTAAAAACTATAACCATTTACATGTTATGAATAATTCCATAATAGCTTCCTTTCTTGTTAATAATTATTGTTATTTGATATGATTAAATAAGCTACACCATACATAGAACTTAACAGTATTATGCCTGGGATATCCTAAATGCACAATAAACATTGAGTATTTTATAATTTATTATGTTTAGTATACCCTGATAAATCATAAAACTTTCGGTTGGGAGGGCAGTGCTGTGGTACACAAGGTAAAGCTGCCTCCTCCAGTGCCAGCATCCCATATGGGCGCCAGTTCAAGTCCCAGCTGCTCCATTTCCCATCCAGCTCTGTGATAATGAGCCTGGGAAGGCAGAGGAAGATGGAAGATCTCTCTTTGTCTCTCCCTTTCTCTCTAAAACTCTGCCTTTCAAAGAAATAAATAAATCTTAAAAAAAAAAAAGCACTTTGAGTTGGCACAGAATTTTCATCATTATTTTCTAGGGAGTAACTTTGATGCTATTAAACTATAGTCTCTTAGCTTGAAATCTACTTTTCTATGTTCTGCTTTGTGAGTTAGGGTTAGGACACTAAAAACCACATTTCTGCTTTGTTAGCTAGCTTCTGTTAGACTCTGCTGAAAGAGATGACTGAATGAAGAAAAGGTACTTGACCCACCCTATTTGCTTCCTGACCCAGTTGTGGTTCTACAGCATGACAATTAGTTACTGCCAATCCTGGTTTCAAAATTTTATTTATTTATTTATTTTTAGGTATTTATTTGAGAGTCAGAGTTGCAGACAGAAAGAGGGGGGAAACAGAAAGGTCTTCCATCCACGGGTTCACTCCCCAAATGGCTTCATTGGCTGGAGCTAATCCTTTCCGAACCCAGGAGCATCTTCCAGATCCCCTACATAGTGTAGGGATCCAAGCACCTTGGCCATCTTTCATTGCTTTCTCAGGCCATTAGCAGAGAGCTGGATAAAACAGGAGTAGCTGGAACAAAAGCCCATATGGAATGCTGGAGCTGCAGGAGGAGGCTTAGCCCACTATGCCACAGTGCTAGCCCCTCAAATTTTTTTAAAAATCAAAAAACAAAAAAAGGAAAGAAACAAATACTGTGTGTATCAGTATTGCTGCAAATATAGCTTTATAAAGCTTTGTTTTATACCTTTGATTATACTACTAGAATTTTAATAATCTATGGTTTTATAGTTTACTGTATATGAGTGGAATGGTCATTGCTTTCATTCGATTATTGGTTATAGTCACTGTACATATTCGCACTAAACTAGTCTTTTGCCTATTTTACTTGTTAAACTTCTTATCAAGTGAAGCATTAAGCCTGTTAATATAATGTAAATTTAAAATACATTATCTCTTTTTTTTTTTTTTTTTGGACAGGCAGAGTGGACAGTGAGAGAGAGAGACAGAGAGAAAGGTCTTCCTTTGCCGTTGGTTCACCCTCCAATGGCCGCCGCGGCCAGTGCGCTGCGGCCAGCGCACCGCGCTGATCCGATGGCAGGAGCCAGGAGCCAGGTGCTTTTCCTGGTCTCCCATGGGGTGCAGGGCCCAAGCACCTGGGCCATCCTCCACTGCACTCCTGGGCCACAGCAGAGGGCTGGCCTGGAAGAGGGGCAACCGGGACAGAATCCGGCGCCCCAACCGGGACTAGAACCCGGTGTGCCAGCGCCGCTAGGCGGAGGATTAGCCTAGTGAGCCGCGGCGCCGGCAAAATACATTATCTCAAAAATTAAAAAAAGAGAAAAAGGGAGAGGGAGGGAGGGAGGAGGAGAGATGGAGGGAGGGAGAAAATGTCATATTCTTAGAAGTTTATCTATGAACTATATAAAGTCTGTTAAAAACCAATTAAATTTTTAAAAAATAAAAATCCTTTTAAAAAAATACTGGTTTTAGTTTCATTTCTTTTACTCTATAGCCCAGAACCAACAAGGATCCCCACAAAAGACTGAATCTGTTGCTTTGCTTTTATATATTGGTGAATTAAAAACCCTGTCTTTAGTCTCTCTTGAGGTATCTTTAGAAACAATGAGGTATAAAACTGCTGACATAAAAAAATGCTCAGGATCACTAGCCATCAGGGAAATGCAAACAAAACCGCAATGAGGTTTCACCTCATGTCAGTTAGAATGACTATTATACAAAAATCAAAAACAATAAATGCTCAGGAGAATGTGGAGGGAAGGGTACTCTAATAATACACTGTTGGTGAAAATGTAAACTAGTTCAACTATTATAGAAGACATTATAGAGACACCTCAGGAATCTGAAAATAGATCTACCATATGACCTAGCCATCCCACTCCTGGGAATTTACCCAAAGGAAATGAAATCAGTATATGAAAGAATTATTTGAATCCACATGTTTATTGCAGATCAATTTACAATAGCTAAGATATGGAATCAACCCAGATATCCATCAACACATGAACAAAGAAAATGTGGCATTTATACATCATGTGACACTATTCAACTATAAAAAAGAATTAAAGCCCGTCTTTTGCAACAAAATGGATGCAACTAGAAACCATTATGCTTAGTGAAATAAACCAGTTCCAAAAAAACAAATATCATTTTTAAGGAATTTATTTACAGAATTGTTCTATTAACCTACTTATAGTAATGTCAACATTTGGCTCTAGGAGAATATGCAGATATTCTTGTTTCACTAAAACCGAAAGCACACTGCCTTTCCCTACCCTGTCATTTTTCTTTCTTGCTCTGCTTCCAAGCATAGGCAGCTTCATAGTCAGTGTTCATCAGTAGAAAATGTCAGTCCCTTGAATTTTAAGGAGCTCTGTGAATAACCCAATTGAAATATTACCCTACCTTGTGGGTAGCAATAGGGTGGGAGTGAAGAAGAGATTATGGTGATGGTGGAATGCACAACATAATCATCTTAAACCATAGAAAATCAAACAACTGATCTTCAAATTCTACTACATCCTTCCCCCTGTCATATAGATCCTAGGGGTAGAAGACAAGCTAATTTGTGAACAGAAGTGGTTTCACAATTTTGTAGCATATCCTGAAAAGGAGTTTAAGGTACCTATTGTAGTGTTCTGTATTGGAGCATCTGCCACAACATGAAATGCAAAACACAAAAGTATATCCATATAATAATCATAAATATTTAAGCCAGCTCTATAAAAAGGTTTCTCTGATCAAGCCTATATCCTGATTTGATATTGATTCTCATCCATAGTCCCCACATACTATTAATTTTATGAATGGTTACCTTGCCAAGGCTCCCTAATAATGTTTCAATCACAGTTTTCTGCCTCGTGACAGAAGAGCTTAAAAGGAAGAATAATAATATGGCTAAAGCCAAACAAATATAAGGGGGAAATTCTAGCACTCTTCTAACGTATTTAATCTTTTGATCTTTAAGTGTTGGCTAGAATTCTCCTGAGTCTCCACTTCACATGGAACAAATTCAAGAAAACATAAACTGACATCCATGAAAGGAAATTTTAAAAAATATTACTTCACTCTTGTGATTCCTGTGAGAAATATTAGAATGAAATAGAACTTTTTAATCAATTCTACCTTAATGAAATCTAGACTACATTCAATCTTACTGAAATCTAGACTACATTCAATCTCCACTTTGCTTTAGTGCATGGAACGCTGGATTCCACAGAGTCTCTCCTATTGTAATACAAGTGGATATAAAATAAGATTTACCTATTGCTATGTATTTACCATTATAAAAGTGTATTTTCCT